ATGATATGAAAGAAAAAAAAACAAATACAAACAAAAATAAGAAGAAAGACAAAGAAAATGACTCATCCTGAACTGTAGTAACAGAGATCTGTGATGAAAAACAATCTCTGATGTAAAGGTACAAGATCTCAATGATGAATGTAACTGTACTGTATACCTAAAATGTACCAATAAACTCAATGAGAGAGAGAGAGAGAGAGAGAGAGAGAGAGAGAGAGAGAAGAAAAACATTCTTTGGAATAAATAGAGTCATATGGCTTTAGTATCTGAATTTGGCAGATGGGTAGTGATAAGCATGAGAGTCTGCTATCAGTGGGTAAAGAGCTATTAAAGTATAGAAGATTTTTCTAATAATCCCAAACTGTATCAACTAACAAAAACTGAGTTAGGCACTCCCAAAGCACCTTTCCTTAGCTCTATGGACTTGTGTTAAACTTAGAGTTGGAAAACTGAAGAGATCTCAGAGGGCTTTTCACTGGACTTTTCATTTAAGCCAAAACTCTTCAGAAACATCACTGACAGGAGCCCATGCAGATTCTGTTTGAACTCATTATTACTCCATACACCCCACACTGTATTCTCCAACAGCTAGAAGAAAGGGATCTTTTAGGGACAGACTTTCATCTTTCTTCTTGAACCAACTGATCTACCTGATATAACATAGCTCTCAAAATACCAGCTGACATCTTCAAGATACCCAAGCATATGTTTACCAAACACCTCCAACTCTTTTACATGAAAACACCTGCATCGAGGAGAGAAGCCACCTGCATCAATATCCTCTACATTTAACATGTTTCAAAGGGCAAGACTTGATGTGGGCTGCTCAGGGCATGCTTCACTGGGATTAGAAACTCCTCGCTCTTTTTCATCCTGAAATTATTTTGGCTTGTCACTCATGCAAAATTGTCACTCTGAATTAAACTTGGGTGTTATCTAACAGTTCTGTGTCTTTGTCATTTGAGCCTCTGTTCATGTACCTCTCTGTATTTTTGCCATTCTTTTTAGAAGAAATTTGCAGCAGAGACCAGAGCATAGTAGTGACTAAATCAATGCTTATCAGAATCTCAAAAATTTGACTGTTGATATTGGCCTCTACAGTATCCATGAGTGATTTTCTTTTTCATTTCTTTTCTTTCTTTTTTTTTTTTTTTTTTTTTTGTACAGAGGATTAAACTCAGGACCTTGTGCTTATGAGGCAGGTGCAGTGCCACTGAGCTAAATCCCCAGCCCCCATGACTGATTTTCTTAGATCAATTGACTAATTTATTTATTTATTTATTTTTGGTGAAGAAATTCTCACCAATTTTAGTAGAATGATTCTCTTAGTAGGTATCTTGATATTTTAATTCCTTTATTTTGGAAGAATATAGAACATTTATATAGTTTTCAGTTGAATAATGTGTCCCCCCAAGTGCTTGTCTTTGAAAGTGCCATTTTTATAAGGTCTTTGGTTTGCCTGAAAAATACTTTACTGTCATACCTTCTAATTCATACCTCAAATCTACTTCTTGACCTATGTCTCTCATTTTTAATGTTATTATGTATTTCCAAAGAGTACATTTCACCCTTGTATATCATTATTCCAGGCAAGTATTTATCCCTGCCATTAAAAGTTGATGCTCTAGATATTATTGTAGCATATAGTATAAAATGGTTCCTCAGAATATAATACAAATTCTCCTTCCTAGAACCTGTTATCTTTTGAGGCAAAGAGACTCTACCCATGTGGCTAGATTAAAGACCTTGTGATGCACAGATTACCCTAAATTATCTGTGTAGGATTTAGAAGTGGAGATGTTGGGGTGTAGCTCAGCAGTGGAACATTTGCCCAGCATATGTGAGGCCCTGGGCTCAATCCCAGCACCCCACAAAAAATAGACACCCTTTCCTAGTTGTAGTCAGAGAAAGATGTGATATGGTGATGGAGTAAAGGCACAAAGAGGTGGAAAGTTACTGGTTTTGAAGAGGGAAGGAGAGGGGGTGTAAGCAAACGAATGCAAGGAGACCTCTAGATGTTAGCAAAGGCAGGAAAACAGATGCTCCCCTACAGCCACACAGAGGTCCTGTAGTGTGACCCTTACTGACATCTCAGTACTGAACTGTAACACATATGCGGTGCTTAAAGCCAACAAATTTTTGGTAACTTGTTATAGGAGTAGTAGAAATTGAATATAGTTATTGTATATTTTTAGCAAAGTAATGTATCTAAGCCATAGAGTTTTATTCCCCAAATTTTCTCTTATCTGACACCTGAAAATAACCTTTTTTTAAAAAAAAAATTGTGAGTGTGTTTGTATGCTTTCTACAGTATCTACGGTATCTTGTCTGTAAGTTGTGTCATGGCATTTTCCAGATACTTCTTTTAATTACAAATTAAAAATTTCATTGATGAGGCCATTGAGCCTCCTCTTAAGCTTGTTTCCTGTTCTTGGCAATCTCTGTCTTTATCCTTCCCAAGAGCGCATATCACGATAGGGAAGGACATGGCATAGCAACCCAATCTCAGTCTCCGAGCTTCGTGTGTTTAGTTCTTCATATCCTATAGCTCTTTTCCAAAAGCGTATTTAATATACCATCAAATTTTTAAAGTTTGATCCAAATATGCAGACTATGAGTTCTTCTAAAAATGCCACTAATGTTCACATTAGTTTGGTTGACAAAGTAGCAATCAGTGGCTATCACAAACAATGCAAGCGTGTGCGGTGTATGTATCCTCGAGGAAGACAAAATATCTTCTCATCAGTCTCATTCACTCAACATATGGCTCTTTCTGACCTAGCAAATCAAAAATTCAAAATACTATGTACAATCTTTTGGTAGCAAAGGTTAACCCTTCATGTTTTATGGGAAGCATTTAGTGCTACTTTCTCTTTAGAAGGTTCAGTTTTATTCTCTGGAACTTGGCTATTGCCTCTTCTCTGATTTCTAAACGGTCTTTTTTATATTATTAATTCTCTTACTTAATGTCTCATTCTTCTTTGGAGAATCTCAACACTGATTTTGATCTGACAGACCTCCTTGAAACTTTTTTTTAATTCTGTTTTCTTTCATGGGGTATTTGTTCTGTGCAGTTTAAAGACCATTCATCCTGGCAGTTTTCAGGTGTTTCCCTTGTTTGTTCAGAGAGACCAGCTTATATTTATGAGGCATAGGATTGGTGATCATACAGGAAGAAAGCTCACTGATGAGCCCAGAGTTCTTTACTTTCCACAGCTGAAGCCACACAATGAGTTTTCAGGTCATTTTTGCCTCAAACTCTTTGTCTCTAATCAAGGGGCTTTTTAGAATCCTGTGGTTCTACAGTTTTATAACACCAAAGAAGGCCTCTTTTGCTGCAAGTTCTGCACTAATACATATTATAAAATAAGTGTTTTTGACATGGGTTCTTGCAACATTCTGTTAATAATTTTCCCAATTACCATATATGTTAGGTTCTTTTGTTATCCTTGTTTTCACAAGAGAAACTAGGTGTAGAGAGTCCAAGTAATTTCCTCCAACTCTTGCAGGTACTAAGGAATGGAGACAGGATTCAAACCCAGGTCTGTATGATCCCAGAGCCCATTCAAATGGTGTACTCACTTTGTAGGCTATGGTGTTAGTACTTGTATCACTTTTGGACTGCAGTTCTCTGTGGCTTTCTTTGCAAGTTCACTCAGGGCACTGGAGCCCGGTTCTGGAATTTTCAGGCTTTCCCTGAAATCTACTATGGTCCCTTTTTTTTTTTTTTTTTTTTACTATGGTTCCTCTTTAGTAGCATTTACCTAAATATTTGCTTATTCCCAGCACATCACTTCCCATGTCACTTTAATCCCACTCTACCACTGCTTTTCTTCTTGATGTTGGTTGGTTGTTTTCAGGTTAATATTCTCTGCCACTAATGTGGCCAACTCAAGGATGGATTCAACTCAGGGAAAGCACAAGTGTGTATTGGAGGGAAGAGGGAAGAAAGGAGAGAGATATTCTGTATATATAAAACACACGTCTGCTCCCAAAGATCATGAAAAAGTGGAGGCTGTATCTTTAATAATTTTGATATAAATTGTATTGAAGTTATAATTTTTATGTGTTTGGGTTAAATAGAGTAAGTTGTTAAAGTATGTTTCTCTGGTTTCTTTTTACTTTTTAACTTGGATAAAGACACACCAAAAATTACACATGTAGCCTGCATAATTATCTACTGGTATGCTCTACTATACAGAATATGACTTGTAGTTATTTAATATTATGAGTTATCTATGTATAGGTGGAATAGAAAGTTAGTGCAGAATTTTTAAAAAGCAGAAAAGATTACAGGTGACAGGAGACAGTTTCTCCTTGGATTTTAAAATTTCTGTTCCATGTACACACTGACGTGCTACCTCCCTTGACAAGCTTTTTAGAAGACCTGATAATCTCCAGAGAAATGAAGCTGCCCCAGATGGCAGCTGTCTAAGCATTTGTACATAGTGCCTAAAGTGAAAGGCTTAAAATCAGTATTGATTTTTGTCATTTATTTTATCTTGGCATTTAAATATCCATTAGATTTATTACCTTCAGATTTTTGGTTAAGATTCAGTGATGGGTACAATAGCAAATGTAGTAATAAGTTATGTAGATATCACTGAATTTATGAACTCTGGAGCTCCAGGGTAGCTTTCAGTTCAAGAAATATATTAACCACATACATATCACCCTTCATGTTGTGGTGAAGATTTCCAGGCTGTGTTCCTGTGGCGCCACTTAATTTATGGTCTGACCAGGTACATGGATCTCCATATAATATTTCAATATAAGCTGTGCCACCAGCCACAGAAAACTGAGATGAGCTTCAAAGGAGCCAGCTGGAGAGCTGATAGAGTTGCTCTCTTCTATGTAGGCTAGGGCACTAAGTAGCCTTTAAAGCTTGTGGGTGATTTGGGCCTTTTTCTGCTCTGAAAAGCTGCACTCACGGCACTGGCCTACACAAGCAAAATCAGCCATGCTGCAACAGGCAGAGGGCAGCTCCCAGAGTTACTTACGTTGACAGCCGTAGTGCCAGGAATTTCCCGGCAGACACTCATCACACTTAGGCCCTGTCGTTCCAGTCTTACACTCACAAAATCCTGAGCCATTACAACGATCATGGATTGAGCCCAAAGGGTTACAATAACACTCTGTAGAAACAAGACAACACACAGGCTGGAGACAAGTCCACATGGTTTACAAGTTATCAACACAGGAGCATCACTTACTTAAATACGTCACTTACTTAAAGAAAAGATGTCTGTTAATGAAATGCTTTGGCAAATATGTCTGTTTCAGGACCATTTGTTTATTTGCTCAGCCTTCCACCATATTGTTTTTATGATGTGGTAGGAAATCAACTGAAAACTTCCATGGAAATATGACATCATGCTTTTCACTGGCAATAGATCATAACGGAGATTCCATTTGCTAGGTCATTTTTAGATGGCTTACTGAACACCATGAGAAGTTTGTATTTCAAGGATAAATCAATACACCATCAGTGTAAAATCTGTTTTAAATTATTCAAATGGGCTTATCTGTTAAACTCAATATCTGAGAACTGCTGAACATTTTAAAATTGCAATATGAATGCACTTTGCTGATTCAAAGATAGTTTTGCTTTATGATTTGAGATGGTGCCTTAACTTATTTATGTACATACTGTTTCATGATGATCCCTTAGATATTGAACTGCTAGGCCAGGTAATACGGCTTTATGCAGCCTACATTAACAATTGTGAAAGAAAATATGTTTTGTAATCCTAAATAAATTTCAACATAGATATAATTCGAGATGCTTATTTTACATTATAATGTCTGCTTGGCAGGATGGTAAAACTTGGCAAAATAAAAAGTAAGCGGACTATTTTCTTGCTTCCTTACACATTCTTATATAGGGTATTTTCACTTCTGAAGCTCTATTGTTTTTAAACCTTACACTGGAAGTGAGAGTTCCTTAGGCTTCCATTAGCTGGAAGAGAAGTACAGGTAGTTTGCAGTTTACAGCATGTGTGAGCTGAATTTCCATTCCTCATTACCCATTGTGTAATCTCTGGTAGTACAATATGTCTCTCATCTTTCAATTTCTGTTGTAAAATGAGCCCATTAAGAGCTTCTCATGCTAAAACCCATTAAAAAAAAATCACCTGTCCAACCAACCAATCAACCAACTGAAGTCCTAAGAATTTTAGTTTGATATAATCAAGTTTAATTCTTTAAGATTAACAGTGGCGATTCAAGCTTTATCATTACAAAGGGACACAGGAGTTTTTTGCTCTAACTTCATATTTTAGAGGCCAATTAGATAATTTCTTTAAATGCGGTCTAATACCTTAAAACTGGATTTACTTCAGGGTAAGTAAATTTTGTTTTTTAGGTAAATTTTTAACAACAATATTTTTACAAAACAAATATTATAAGACTAACAGTGATATCTATATGTCTAAATAAATAAATTCTAAAATCTTCCCTCTTTGCCTGACTAGGTTTATATTTAATAACTGAGGTTTTATTTTAAGTGACATTATCTATTCTAATGGATATGTGTACATAGCTGTTTTAAATTATATATATATATATATATTTAAATATATTCTAAAATGGCAATTTTGTTCTTTTTTTAGTGTTTGTAATATTCATATATAAGTGTGTACCTAGACCAAAACAGTAAATGTTACTATTTAAAGTGTGTAAGTTTACAGTGAATCACCAACATATGTAAAGCAGTTAGCAGAATTACATCTGGCCAACATGAGTTCACATACAGTTTTAGTTAATTAGCCATAACAATTAATTAATATAGAGCTTTAAATGCATAAATGTAAACAAAGTAAAAACACATACAAGAGCGTGGAACATCTATAAACCATAGTGCATCTCATGGTTTATCCTAGGAAAAGTTGAAAAGTGTAATGTTATTCAAACAGTCACAGAAACAAATGACAAGGAGAGATGGGATTTTACCCTCTACCTTACAAATATTTTAATTTTTCAAAAATATCATCTACAGAGCTATATTTAATGGTGGATGTGAGGGTAATGGGAATAGTCTTGGATGATCATATTTTATTCCATGAAACTATGAAGAATGTACAGAACTGGCTAGATTACAACACAACATGAAATGCTTTTGCTGAGCTTGATTAAAAAAGTTACACTAAAACTGATTTATAGATATTAAAATTGTCTTGTTCTACATAAGGTACTTCTGATTACCTGATCTTCGGTTTCAAGGAGAATTAAAAATAATACATCAAAACCTTGAGATATGTTTAGCACCAACTGCTGAGCCTGTGTTTCATTCAGATGCAAAGCTTGTTAACTGTGATTATTAATAATGATTACCCAAGGTCACAAACTATGTGTCCTCTAGCTTCCTGCTTAACGCTCAAGTTTATATGAAACAGAAGCATGCAAGGCTGTCGTCTTCATGTAATTTTTGCGTCATCACAAGGTAATTACATGCGTCTTTGGAGACATGGCTGTGTCTGGAATTGGTATAAAAAATGTGTAAATTCACCAGGAATCACAAAGCCTCAATCACAGTGCCAACATAGACTAGCCAGCTGCATTTTATATTTGCCACAATATAAAATGACACAAGTAATTCAAAACATCTATTTGAACAGTCTACATTTTTCAAAGGTATGAGCTGTTCCCTTACAGGCAGCATGGAAATTTTAATTGCCAGTTGTTAAGGACTTGGCAAGGTACACTTAAAATTTTTTTAATGTAGACAAGAGTTAGATGAAGTTCAAAGTTTCCCAGACTACTGACTAATTCCGTGAAAATGAGTCAGGTAAATACCCATTCATTTTTATTAGTGCTTTCTAGAAAAAGAGATATTAAAATTAACTCTCAATTCCTTACTGCATATCCTTTCAAATTCAATACTCAATTTTTCCTTTAAAGTCTTTTCCTTGATTCATTTAAAATATTAACTATTGTAAAACAATTTAATCCGATGTATTTTGTAAAAATGAGCCAGCCTTATTCTTGTGTTCCTATTTATCATTTCTGCTGTTTTCTTATTTATAGCACAATGTCTAAATATTTTTACAAATGCCATTCAGTTGAATATATCCTACATTCAAAATTCAGACATACACGTCTTCTGGTTTTTATTAATATCCTCAAATCTTTGCAACCCATGTGTTATAAAAGCAATTGAGTTTCTATTCACAAGCTCGTATTGGAACTGCTGCTGTCATTCAAAAGCATGATATAAGTAAAAGCTGACATGCTTAACTTTGCTATGCACATCACAGTGGTTAGGAGAGAGTGTCAGTCTTTGAAATCAGGAAGCTCTTGCTAGCACTGTATGATTTGGGTCTGTGGGCCTCATTTTTCTCCAGTAGCAAACAGGAGAGATTATGAGTGGAATACTTACCCTACTGTTTTGCTAGTGAGGATTAAGGTAAGTTTGCAGGTCAATTCACAGTTGAGCAAGTGTTTCCTGTGTGTTCCACCTGATCAGATGACTTACCTAAAGCATACAGCTACTAAATAGCAAACTGGGACTTGAACCCAGCTCTCCAGTTTTAAGTCCAGTACTTTCTCCACTAATTCACAAATATTAAATAGGAGGATCTTGGAAAAATAGAAAATACTGTAGACATTAATAGTATTATGTATACTTGGCCTAATTTAATTCAAAGAAAAATCACACAACTATTTTATGTGACAGTTGGCAAGACTCTACATGACCCTGACTAGCCAATTAGAAAGCAATAATTCCAGAAATGCAGGTGGATTGCATTTTCTGATGAAAAGATCACCTGTCATTTCCATTTTATATATTACATTTAATTTAGTTCCTAAATGAAAAATTCTACCTCTAAAATTGCTTATTTGTATAGCTAACTACTAATGGGGTAACAGATTCAGCATTTCAGATATATACACTTCTTCAAAGTAAGTTATGGTGTGAAATTCCATTTATTGTTTCTTATTTTTCCATCAGCCTCCCTTTCTTAAAGACAGGTCCCACTCTGCAAAAGATAGGAGACTTTGGGTGAGAAGGGCGCCTGCTTTCTCTCCAGGAGCAGTAGTCATTTTGGGAGAGCAGCAGAAAGTGCTGAAGAGGCCACCAATTTGGAAGATAAGAGAATTAGTTAAGAGAGATGCCTTTTTGGGGGGTTAGAGGAAAATGTTATGAATGAAATTTCACTGCCATGGATGGAAAAGTCAGGCAACTTCTACATTACCAATTGCCAGTAGCTTTCACTTCTAAGTGGCAACATTTAAAATCTACTAATCCTTGCTGATCCCCAATTATATGCATGATCTAGTACCCCAAATTTTCATATCTATATTAAAACTGTATAATGAATTTCCTTTTTTAAGGTTGGCCATAAAAATCAAGTCAAAATTACCAGGTTTTATGATTTCATGCAAGAAAAAGTGAGAAAAGGAAAATCTTCATTTTCTAAACACGATTTCTCTGATCGTTATCTTTAAGGCAATAACATAAGGATTCACAATGTAGCCCCCTCCCCCATTATTATTTCAAGCAGTATAAGTGAATTTAAATCTACCATAAGGATATCTGCCCCCTGGAGAAAACTCTGACTCAGCGGTGTTGCAAATCATCAGCCTCTCCACCTTAGATAGCTCCCCATAGCTAAAAAGGCACAGAACAAAAGCTGAAATTATAATGGAACTGACCTATGCATACATTCTCATCGTCCAGTTGTGCAGAAGCATTTCTGAAGTAGCCCAGCCTGCATAACTCACAGTGCTGCCCTCTAGTGTTGTGTTTACAGCTCACGCAAATGACTGTATTTAGCAGATCGATATAACTGCATCGATTGGAGTGGCCGAAGCATTCACAGTCTTGCAAGGAAGAACAGAAATGTATACAAAGTGTATACAGCAGCAGAGTAATAGCACACTACATGCTTGGATAAAACGAGGAATGGAGAAAAGGTGGAATGGCATCACATATATGTGAATCAGCATGACACATGGCGGCAACAGTTGGCTGCGACTGGCATGGAAGTGGCATCTGTTTCAAGCAGGATACAAAGGTCGGACATTCAGAACATGACTGAAGATTGTTAATTTTTGGCAGACAAGATGAACAGAAGCATTTGCAGGTGTACACCTTTTAAAATTTGAGAAAGCTTGGTTTCCATTGATGCAAAAGTCTAATTTTTGCACAAGGAAAACTTTACTGTTTTGCACATTTCTCCCTTTTCTCGTCATATTTGCAGTCTTTAAAAAGGGGAGCGAAGCATATGAGCATTGAGGGTCTGAATCTGCCACTCTCCCATGGTACCTTTGTCTCACTATTGTTTATGCAAGACAGTAACTCAGTCAAGATTTCATAGAAATCGTGGCAAATTTAATAGGGATCCAGACAATCACAATTCTATATCTCGATTTTCCCCAGTGACTACACAATGCTTTATTTTGTTTTTCCCCACTGCTAAGAGGAGAAGATGGCTTTCTTATGCCTTTCTTCAGGTCAAATGTGTAAGAGACAACAATGGACAGATTATTTATATGAAAAAAGTACACTTAAGATTTCCTTTTTCTTTTAAATTTCAGGCTACAAAAGGGGTAAGGCGGCTACTACACCTCCCGATTTCTCTTCCGTTTTCTTTCTGAAATGTGAGAGATGCCTCTGGGGTTTAGTAGTGACGGTGGTAAGAATCAGACAGGGGGATGAAGAATAGTATGATGCAGCTGGGAGAATGGAGGGTGACTAGATCTCCTCTCTAGCAGCTCAACCAAAGAAAGAAGTTGTTAATCTAATTCAATATATTTTTTAAACAGAAATGCCAAAGAAATAATTATCAAACCAATAGAAAAAAGTAAGGAACAGTGAGGCAGGAAATCTGTTGCATCATGCCAAAATATGGGGATAGGCTGAGTTAGAAATTTATAAGGAAGAACAACCAAATTGTGTTAGCTGTAAATGTTCTTCTGATTAGTATCTAGCTTTTATTTTATTCTGCGAAAAAGCCAAACAGTCAACATTTGAACCCATTCATTCATCCATTCATTCAGCATTTTGTTATCTCTGTTATGTACTAGAAACCATGCTGGATGCTGAATTACTCCTTGGCTTACATATAAATTTTAAGAATACCAAGTTTTTATAATCACAGTAAAGACTGGTGTTAGCAGATAAAAAAGAATAAGAAAAGGTGACTAGCGCTAAGAATTCTTCTTAGGAATATAGTACCACTTATTAGAACAGTATGGATTCATCTATTAGAGAGCTGGTTACTTGAACAGATTGCTAAGGTCATGGTCCTGAGGGAATGAAATCTGACGTGGAGAAGAGCAGAGGAGCGCGGTGCGGATGGTGAAGTGCACCAAATACAGTTGCTTAAAAAGGAAGCAAGAGGATGGGGGGATCCTGAGGACAAGCCACTGCTTCTATATGAGGTCTGCTCTACATATGAGCAGGAAGTAGGGTTGGGGGTGGGGTAGAGAAGAGCTAGAGAGTGGAGGAGAATGTAAGGCGAAGGAGGCTTTGGACTTCAATGCAGGAGATGGGGTAAGAAACTCAATCCAGTCATTAAGGCATGCCAAGCAAATAATAACACCACCGATAAAATAGTCACAGATTACGGTAGTAAATTACCTTAGAAACAAGCTTTCACCCAATTCAGGATCCATGCCTGAGTTACACCCTGTTCATACTGGCATCTCTGATTCCCTAGGATACAAGAAAGGCTTCTAGAGCTTTTCTTGGCTGAGACTTTGAAACGAGCTGGCTCGAAGCCTCCCTGGAGCACTGGGTGCAGGTTTCAAACCTAATGCTTCCTAAGGACTTCTTTGGCACTACCTGAGTGATTCCTTGGGAGAGAACAATGTCAGCATATTCACAGGGCCTCCGTCCTTGTCCCTGGGGAGAGGCCCCTGGTTGGTTTTCTTCAGGAGCCACATCCTAGGATAGATCTTGGAGCACTCAATTTAGTTAATACAGCTTTTTTTCAAAAGCATCTTTTATGGGCAAGTATTCATTTTAGGTCTTTCTGGAACTACCCAGGAGCTTAATTAATGGGTAAGACAAACACATACTCAGAAAACTAGGACTTAAAATAGTTTGTACTATTAAAATATTAAAATAGTGACACAAATGTGGAAGATGAAATTAATTTAACTTGAGGGGGATGAGTAAAAATGTCCAGTAGAACTTGCACACTGAGTGAGGTAAACTTTTTGTTTTGTTTTATTTTTTATTTTATTTTATTTTTTTGGTACTGGGGATCGAATTCGGGTCCTTGCGCTTGCAAGGCAGACGGCGGAACCGCTAAGCTAAATCCCCGGCCCTTGTTTTGTTTTAAAAGGGGAAATTATCATTTCTGTTGAAAGAAATGAATGTGCCAAGGTACGAAACTAGGGAAATGTGGAGAGTGAGATACGAGGATTTTCATAATATAATTCCTTTGGGAAGTATTTAAGGGCTTCTACGGGATCTGCTCCATAGCTATAACTCACGCTTGGCTTTCTGCAACAACACTATCAAGAAAAAATGTATCTGTGAGATACTCAAATTCAGAGACAAGGATATTCCTCAGTGATAGAGGGCTTGCCTAGCATGAGCAAGGCTCTGGGTTTGATTTCAGCACTGACAAACAAAATCCAAGTTCAGTATTTTGTTATCTATTTCATAAATCACCATCATCGTGTCAAATGTAACACCGTTGCTTACCAATATCTGAATTTAATGAGTGATATACATTTCTGTGATGACCTTACTACTTCTTTGTCTCATTTAAAAATCAATTTATAACTTTTGATAAGAAAGGTTAAATAATTATGTGTGAAACTATGTTCAACTAACCACACAGTCTTATAAACCTATTTCTTAAAATAAGCAGATATTTAAAATGTTCCAGGGCCAGGGATTTAGCTCAGTGGTGCCACCACCTGCCTTACAAACACAAAGTCCCAAGTTCAATCCCTGGTACCAAAGAAATAAAAATAAATAAATAAAAAATAAAATGTTCCATAATATATGAGATGGGTTAATAATAACTTGATTCTTTTAAAATCTTAAGATCTTTCTGAGACTTTGATTAAGCTGTCTTCTCTGGTCATGATATATTTGATAGTATTAAATGAGAAAAACATTTTTTAAAGTGATTTGGAAAGCATGAGAACATTATATAAATACTAAGTGTTTCAAATATAATTATTATGCTCCTGTATTATTTTCTAGCATCTTGTTAATTTAACATTCTTCAATACCTAGTCTTCGCTCAGACACAGAACCTATTAGTGATCACTAATAATATAGTTTCAGTTGCATTACATGTTTAGATACTCAAAAGATGACATTAACAGTTTAATAATTCTTCAGTTCACTGAACTACTGTCTTCCTTTCTCTTCTTGTAAAGTACAGAATCTATGCTCCATCTTTATAATCATTGTATTTCCTTCTATACAATTGTTGCCGTCCTATCCCTAATCATAGTTTCCTGGGAAAACTTGATCCTGTCAGGTTTACATGCCAGCAGTTAAATGAGGCTAGGGTTTTTCCTCCAACAATTTTGAAATGAGTCTCCCTTCAAGTTCATGGTCATTAACTTCAGGGGTGCCCTCACTGTTTGATTTTTAAACCTCCTTTGCTTTTTTGTGTTATCTTCTTGGCTCAGGGTTTAATCCTGGGACCTCTGTGTTCTTGAGGCTTAACCTACATGTTTTTACCTAGGACCATGACTTTAAAAACTATCTACATGTGGATCATTAAAAAATGGTTATTTTTATCTTGAATCAATGTCTCAGTTAGTTACTGAGACAACATTCAGTCTCATATGCTACATTCAGGTGCCTTCTTGGTGTCTCGACTTGAACACCGAGTAAAGATCTCAACTCTAGGATGTTCAAAACTGAGTTCCTGGCCTATATTCCTAACCTGCTGCCCACCAGGGGGACTCATCTCAGGAATAACTTCATTTCTCTAACTGCTTAGCTCAGCTGGGCAGAGTTATTCTCCACACACCATTCCCTTTCTCCACTCCCGATAACCAATCCAGGGGCAGATCCTCTTGGCTGTGGTTTTAAATTCATGTCAAATCTGACTAGTTCTCACCGGCTGCAGCATCACCACCTGGGTTATGGCCATCATCCCCAAACTACTCTCTGGGCTTCCGCTCTTGTGACAGTCTCGCCTTCACCCAATGGTCAGAGTGACCCTGCAAAACTCAGATTAGGTCATGAAACTTGACTGCTCACAATCCAAATGGGTTCCAGTCTCAGTCAAGAGAAAGAGGAGGTCATGCCTTCCCAAGTGCTCTGGCTCTTAGCTTCCCTGGGGTTTCCTTACTATCATGGTCCACCCCATTTACTCCTTGTTGCTTTCCAAAAGTGTCAAACACTTCTCAGGGCCTCGGCAGATACTGCTTCCAGAATACTCCTCCACAGACCACTCCCCACAAGGAAAAACATTGCTCAGTACTTGTTCTCTCACTTTTTTAATTGGGTCTTTGTGTAAAGAAAATTTTCTGACCACTTTATCTGAAATAACAACCTCTCAACCAAACACCCTCACCTTCCACTTTCCTGAACCCGTTTAACACTTTTAAATAGAGTATAACATCTGCAACATATTTTTAAAAAAAATTTCCTCCTATGTTCCACATGTAAATACATGAGTGTAGGCAACATTTATTTTGTTGACAGACATAACTACAGAGCTCTAAGCATCCCTTGGCACACAGTTATCACTCAGAAAGTATTGTTGAATGACTGACTAAATGAATGAAGGATGATTTTAAAGCATCCTCCTCGGTGGCAGAGGAAGACACAGAAGAAATTTTATTTAAATTTATTCCTCCACCCTTCAAATCCTTTAAGAGAGCCTGGCTATATTCTCTACATTAAAGAGTTTAGAAAAATAAGTCACACAATAAGATATAACTAAGTTAGTGGTTATATTACCTGGGAGTTGAGTGTGAATCTATGAAGAGACCAATTTAGGCAGTAAAAGCAGATTACTGAAATTTGCTGTGGTTTGTAAAGTTTTCAACCTCAAATTTCATTGTAGAAATACATACCTATATCTATATCTATATCTATATCTATATCTACATCTATTTCAGTCCAGTATTAATGTTGTATAAACAAAACTAAGCAGGGTCTTCAATGTACATACACATGATATGGCAAGGCAAGCATTGGGGACACATTTATCGAGATGTTCCTGTACCAGGCATCATGTACCAGGAGACAAAATGAACGAGGTCCATTCCTGTAGCCTTATGCAGGGTTTCTCAACTTCAACAAAATTGAAATATAGGGTCAAATGCTTCTTTTTTGGTTGGGACTGTCCTGCACTTTGTATGATATTCACAAACATTCCTGGCCTGACCCACCAGAAGTAGTAGCAAACCTCAACCTGTGACCATGAAACTTGCCCCCAGATTTTGTCAAATTTCCCCTGGGAGGCAAATCCCACATCCAAAACAGGAAATATATATATGTATCACCTCTCACATTATATAAGTCAAATATAATAATGAAGTACTGAGTACTATATACAGCAATAAAGGCTAAAGACATTTCAGAAGCGGGAGAGTTCAAGGTTGATTTTCCAGATTAGCAAAAGCCCACAACTCTCTGAGGTTTAGAAGGTTCCTTCTGAGAGGCTGGTTGGGAAAACTTGGGTAGGGAAGAGTCACTGGAAAACAAATTTGGAGACAAAGAGAATTGAAGCAAAAGAATGTCAGGAAGAAAAGGTATTAAATTTCCCTTTTGTGTCTTCTTTGTACTGTTCTCCTGTTGCTTGTAATTCCATTATTCCATTATTTAAGTGAACATAACATAAAATATTCTGACTGTGGCACAGGTAGATTTTTTTTCTAAATGAGGAAAGCTTATTCAAATTCAGAGCTGATGAAAACTCATTTTGTCATTCAAAAAGAAAGGATTTGGGAAGAGATTTAATAGAAGGCAAAGGAATTAGAACCTCTTGAGTATTTTTCTTTCACTGTATTAACAGCATGATATTTCCTCTGTGGCCTGAAGCCTCCCTCAGGGGTGGGCCTGAAGAAGATCTAGAAATCTCTGTTCCTTTTCCTATCTGTTTTGTACCCCTTTGTAGCCGCAGAAGCTCTTCTACACAGAATTTTAAAATAAATCTGTTGCATTAGGTAGCTTCTTCCAACCTCCAGGATATATTTGGGCCTCATTAACACTGTGTCCTCCAAATACTAGAGATTCAACAATACAGTATCCAACTCCAGACAAAAGGCTCTTGTGCATCCAGCATACCGACTTGACATAAAGAGGTAAACTTTATGCAACTTCTTTTTGTCTCCTTTCTCATTCACCTCTTTGGTTTCATTCTATAGATTTTTTTATTTTTAATCATGGGTGAGGAATTGCATTCCTACTGTGGCTTTAGTGCCTATTACATACATTACATGCCGAAATCAACTTGCTACCCTCTGAATCTGTGGTAGCTCTATTTGTAATACATTTCCCTATATTTCAAATCTATTTGGATACCCATCAAAATTGGATGGGTACTGGATACACATCTTCAATGTTCTATAGTTCAGAGTGCATTTTGAGGCAAGTTTAGACGTGGTCTAAATGCTATCAGTTTCCTTTCCCCTTGACTCCTGACTTATTTCTTCCCTTTTTCTACATGGCACAGAAGGACAAATTTAACATTGACTAAAACTGGGAAAAGGACTACATTCAATAAAGGAAGATGTTATGGTCATTTCATTAAGTGGTTCAAATTATATGCTGATTTTGTTAATAAAAATTATTTTCTGGCGGACATATTTCATGGAAAAACAAACAAAAATCCCCAAATCACAACAAAAATGACATATATTCAACAGTCAAGGGTGGAAAACAAGACACACCTGTTACATGGGACATTTAAGGGAAAATGGTAAAATAAAAACAGGCTCTTCATGTTTCCTGAAAAATCTTCATTCTGTGAATGATAGATGCTAGCTGGAATGGGCCATTCATGAGTCACAGATGAGGTACTATTTGCTTTCATTTAAGGAAAGTAATATTAATATTATTTTTTGGGTTACCATGAACACTTAACCCAGCACAGATCTTTACTAGTATTTTCCAAATTCATTCAAAACAATATGAATTCCAAGGTGTTTCACGTGAAACAAAGTCAAATGGGCACTAAGTTGGAACCCACCATTCTGTGCTCATGAAAAGCATCCTCAAAACTCACCGTAAGTGAGTTCCCTTATTTTCAATGCAAGTGAGTATCAGTGTTGCTGCTCTCACATACATGGTCTAAACAGGATCCTAAGCAGTTATAATTCTTAGCCACATGTTAATCTTTCAGAAAACAAATGTTGCAGCATTTTAAATTGCAGTCAAATGTCAGAGTGAAGCATATTTCTTACAGATGACATTCTCAGTACTAGTTGATGCACCGATTAGTATCACTCAACATGCCTCAACGATAAGCTGATGGGTACACTTCACAGATATTCCAGATTCATACAGTGTAAGATTTCACAACACATAACACCATGGAATCACTGTATGAATCCAAGAATTCCTACCTCTCTTGTGGTTTGCAACTTGAACAGAAGAAACTGTTGACAAAGCTAATTTGGGAGCAACTGGATAGGTTTAAAAGAATAACAGCAAATTAGAAACAACAGTGAAATGTTCAAAGTGTAATACTGTTACCAACCCACTCAAAACTAGCCCTAAAGAAGGTACTGTCTGTGTTTGTTGTTCCTGGGAGTTTTTTTCAATTCAAAGGAAGGCTTCTTTTTGTCTAAAAGTGTTCAACATTGTCAATAAAAAAGTTTAGAAGCCTTATTTTCAGAGCCAAAAGGAATTTCCATTTAAATAAAAGAATCCAGTTAAACAAACATTTTTCCCATAAAAATGTAGATATCAGAAGCCCCTGATTTTCTCTTTTAAACTTAGAGTTATGTTGTGGATTAGAAATATCATTGCCCCAATTTACCATGTCATTCTAAGCTTGTCAAAATGATTAAAAATCACAGAACTTAGTCATGATGTCAAGCTTTCAGAAGCATTTGGGCCTTAAACATGAGTACCTTTAAAAAATCAGATCTTTTTCAGTGTTTATTACATTTATGATGCAATGAGTTTGTTAATGGCAGGGTTTTGTTTTTTAGGGTTGCCTGTCATTTCCCTTCCAATTATTCGTTAAGTCTTCCTTGTGAAAATAACAAAAACAGAGTAGGGGCTGGTGCTTCCTGCAGACGTTGGCAAGACAAATTACTGCTCCACAAAACTGGCTTATTCTACAAAGGTGCTCCTTTTACTAAAGTTTCAGGTTCAAGCATTTTATTCAACTATGCTGCTTCTTAAACAGATTTATTTGAGCTCATTATCTACATTCTGAAAAGGTGCAACTGGCATATATCTAACAATATTTCTGAGAGCTTTGTGTGACACTCACAGAAAACCACAGCAAAATAATTAAATGTGTTTGTTTCGGGTTTTGAACAATGCATAATCTTGTTCGGCTCAATACTCACTGCCAACAAGTGCTAAGTCTAAAGTTGTGTCTTGTATAACTTGTTGAGCTATGAAATTCAATGGAAATAGTGAGTGACATGTCACCAAAGATGCTCTCCTTGAATTTGCTGAGGAATAAAGCCAGTAAACTTGCCTTGAGTCTTCATAGAATTACACTAATAGAGGTGAGCTTGATGTGTATTTCTTCCTCCACATATGTATGCTGACACTTGAAAAAAACTCATTTGGAGCAAATGATTAAGATAATTCTATTTGCTGGTAATATATGTATCTAGGACAGTCTCAATTTCATCACTCTGACCAAGGACTGAAAATGCAATCTTTCCAATTTGACTCCTCAACAAGTTGCTAATATATTTTGTTTTGCTTAGCAGTTATTTCCTGGTTCCTTCTTTTGCTCATTTCCTCCACCATCTGTATTCATCAGAGTCTAAAAGAGCATCCTGTATGTAACTAAGAAAGGTAGAGGTCAAAAATTTTCGAGAAAGAAGAAGGCAAAATAATACAGTTTATATTAAACTGAGCTATTTATATATGCAGACATACAGATGATAGATGTTAAGTGAATTTAATATTTCTCTGAGGCTTTTGAAGTTTATTGTCCTATATTTTTTACAATATAATCATACTAGTGTTTGTCTGTTCCCTCCCTCTCCCCTCCCTTCATCTTCCTTCCTTCCTTCTTGCCTTCCTTCCTCTCCTTTGATGTCAGAGATTAGAAAATAATTAGTGCTCTAAAGACAGACAGAAAACAGGTTGCTGTTAATGCTGGTAGACATGAATGTCAATTGAATAAGGGATGAAGGAGAAAGTCCCAACCAAGAAGAAAATTTATTGTGTGTGAGCGTGCGTGTGTGTGTGGGGGGTGGAAGAAAACAGATCTATTGGGTGTCACAACTTTGTCTTTATCTGTTTATCCAGACCTTCACTATAACTGAGATGCCAGTTGGTTTCCTAAAGAAAAGTTAAAGAGAGATACCAGAAGGACACCTCTGCCATTCAAAAATTTTAAGACTTATTTACACTCCTCCGCCCCGTGATGGCAACAGAACTCTGGGCTTCTCTTAAGATTGACTGAAATTCATGTTAATTTAGTCAATGGCTTATAACTTCTTCACCATTTCATTTTTGTTGTTTTTCTTCATCTTTCACTTCAATATTTCTGGGAAAATCGTCATGTTAGAAAGAAAATGATTTGAATTATGATTCTTTCAAAGGCATGGCATTCATGATAATGTTCTTATTTGGTGTTAAAAAATTGTATATGGGATTTTCCCCGGAACATGTGGGATTTTATATCAGTAGGAATTTTACATGCTCCTACCTTGTTTTGGGTTAGAAACCTCAAGGGAAGAAATATTCGGCCATATCCTATTAAACTTTGGAGGATCTGCATGCACCAGGAAAAATCAGGGAATGTTATTTTCAGCTATAATGTCATTTAGTCTAAACAAAAAATTAATTATATGGACAAAGACACAAACCACGCATCTGCTTTTCAACTTGGCTGTGAGGCACTTAAACAAAACATGACTCCCATACCGAACAAGAGCAAGCAATTGATGATTCCCAAAACATTGAATGGACATTAAATATATAGCCACTTCCCTAACAAAGTTATACGTTTACTTTTAAAATAAGGTAGAGTGTTCTTATACAAATAACCAAACAGGGACTTCAGCAATCCAAACTGATATGTAAAGCTGGTGCCTGAAACTGGAAGATAACACTAAGGAAATAATTTCTCACTTGAAGATTCCATTCTACTCAATTTATATTTACAGATATGAACTGGTTGCATTAGTCTTTCAGGAAATATGCTTTGAGGGCATGTTTTAAGTGTGAGCCATTATCTCTGAAATTAAGTGGATCCATTTCCTATTTTTATACGTGCAACTTCTGCAAGAAGGAAAGAGATTACTGGTGTTTCTGGGTTCAGAACAGTACAAGGCGCTTCCAATCATATCTAGGGTTGGAGCATGTGGTTGTGCATATACTTCATGATACTTTTCACCTTAAAGCAGATTTCTAGAGTTACTGTTTCCATCCAGAAATCATGCAAAGGATTTTGTTTAAGGATTAATAGTTTTGTCTTGAACCCACCCATTGAAGGAAAAGCCCAACTACAGAAGGCAGGGCACCTAGGTAGGATTTGCTGTTTATTAAGTTGTACTGGTCATGACCATTAAAGCAAACCCTACTGTCTGTTGAGTGCAAGTCTGAACCATATCTCGTTTGTTATCTTTGAGGACCGCCAAAGTCCACAAGGACTTGACTCTGTGCTCCTGCAGTGCTCCTGCAGCACTTTGCTGTTAGTGCTCCAAGTCTCTCATTGGTATGTGGACTTCTAATGCTGCTAGTGTCCATTTCAGATATTGCTAATTATACTGGGTCCCTTTGAAGAAGGGCAAAGCCTTGAAAAAAGCTTCATAATTGAGAAATTGATATCAAGTGGTGAGGCTACTGTAAACAGGTATTATCAGATTGTTTCTTCCATCATTAGATTACAGAAAATAACATTATTGCCGGACATAAAACTTAAGACTATTATTCTAGTTTTAATGTATTTGCCAGAAAATCTGATCTCAAACAAAGCTATTGCTCTGTTTTTTTCTGATTTGATACATGGGTACACAAAGGCAAAGAAAATGTTAGTACTTATACTGTAATATCTGCCAAAACAAACAGAAAAAAATGTAATAGTTTTCCCATATATATCTGGGTGTTATTAAATACATAAATATTTTACTACACATAGACAAAATATCCAGCTTATTGATGGAATGTTGCTTTTCACTTGAACCTTTTCCTGATGACACTGAATTACCAGAACAAGCCTATTAGAGGTCTGTGATGATCAGCTTGAAAAACCAAAAATTTGTATTTTGAAGGAAATAATTTTTTTGGAAAGGGTTTCAAATCATTGGTGAGATTTTATGTAAACATATGTTGATTTATATTATTCCATTAAATTATGACAGTCTCAGTTTGGTGAAATAGTTCTCTCCGTGTTTTTCTGTAGTAGAGGCAAATAAATACAGGTACTAAGTGGAGGTGATAGTTGATAAGTTTAATTCTAAGAATTCAGTGACTTGTTTGCCTGGATAAAATGAAAATAATAATATGATTTATTAGTTTATTAATAAGCTTTGCCAAGAAATTTAAACAAAGATAATAATATAATAATTTAGAACTGAGTTCTAAAAATTAACTCTATAAATTACTTTATTCCATATTCCAGTAAATTAACTATATTTATGACTATATTTTAGTATAGCTTTTTGTTAATGTTTTATAATTTTTCTCAGGATGCTGATAATTTTATATGTATTTTTAAAAAGTAATATAGGTTATCCTACTTTTGAATTATTAAGATTACATGACCTGTACAGAATGTTCAATATAGATGCTCTATTCTAATCTGTTCCCTACCAATAATATAATTTTCTTCTGTTTTTGCACAGCTAACACAGCTTTTTGGGCAGGCAAATCGTTGTTCATGTCTGAGAATATAATTAGATTTTTTTTCGAAATAATTTTCATTATCGTATGCTTAATCTTCCTAAGCACTTAAAACTCAGGTCCACCAACAACTAAACAACTATCATGTGAAAAATCCTGACCTATCTATCTATCTATCTATCTATCTATCTATCTATCTATCTCTGCAGTGGGCACAATTTTATATGCTATGTGTTTTCCTTGGAAGGAAAAACGTTGACCTAAAAGATATGGCTGTTGATGTTTGTGGCTCCTAAACCCCTAAATGTATAACTGTCAGCTGATATACATATACATTTTAATATCTGAAATTTTAATTTGATATCTCATCTTAAATTTAAAAATTATTGTTTTATAAGATCAAATAAGAAAACAAATTAAAATTAGCCTGTTACTCCCTGGTTATATTTGCTACTCTAAGATCCTGATGTGAAATAAATATTTGGCAAGTGTTACTAAAAACATTTAATTCCCCGAAGTAAATTAGGCATGTTAGAGGCCATACTAATAGTATAATTGAGACAAATTCTATCTTATCATCTACAAAGCCAATGAAAGTCTTTGCTTTAGATGAAGCCTCTGAGAACCCTTAGCTATTGAGCTACTTGTTTCAAGTGGTTATAAATTGCAAATAGGAGAAAATGATAATACATCAAAAATATCTGTATTGCCCCTTTGGGTGAGTTGTTGCAAATTTAGTAATTTCATTTTCTTCACAAATCAACTAGGGAAAATCCCTGGGTCAACATAAGGTCTCAGAGTGGTGATTTGTCACGGGGCAGATGGTACTACGAATTATAAGATGAGAAGCTTGCTCCCAGCTCCGCCATTTAGGAACTATCTGGTTGTTAATTTCTCTGGACTCCAGTTTCCTTATCTATGAGATAAAGATGCTGGAGAAGAGATTTCTCTCCTTTCCAAGTTCCATTACTCTGGTGATTCCCTTGCAGCTCGGCAGCATTGTACTGTTGTTCATGGAGGGATGAAGCCTGTGGGGATGACATGTACTCCTGAATTTTGGAGAATCTAGCATGTGAAGAGTTCCCTGTGTGAAGGGAAAATCACGGCTGAGTACCCTCGTCGTGGACCTTTTGATTGTCATAGTGAACCTAAACTGGCATTGAGAAAATGTTCCTGGCACGAGGGAAGGGTCACCATAAAATCGTGGATGGACAATCATTTAGAAATAATCTTTGATTATTTCCTCCTTAAGGGTATTGGCTCCATCTGGGAAAAGGGACTGAATTTGTTTCCATAATCTCCTCATCAAGTCCACGAACTGGATTTCAAAGAGTTTTTGGATTAGAGAGGTGATAATCACAGAATTTACAGCCATCTTCTTTAAAAATAAACACAACATCTGAAAGGTCTTGCAGTTCTTATTATTCTACTGCTACTTTGAATTTTTAAATTATAACCATGGTAAGCCTGGAAAATAGCTGTTTAGGGAAATTTATTTAAAATATGGCTCATATAAATGGAGCACAGGCCAGAACTCGAAATGTACTACTTAGGTACATTTTCTAAGCTTTCTCATCAGTAAAATGGAGATAATAACACTCCTGGTTACTGTTTCTTATGAAAGCTGAATGTATTAATATTTTCTTGATATTGCAATGAACATTAATAAATACTAGCTCTTAGTCTACTTATGGTTGTTGTTATAATAAAATCAGATTACTGTAGTTTAAATAACTTTTACTGACTCGAAGCAGGGAAAATAATGAGCTCTTTCTTTTCTTGTTTTCAATTTTAATTGTTCCCAAAGCAAGTGATCACCTATGTGAGTAAAATTAATGTAAGATTTAGCTTAATTTTTAGAGAATAATCCAATCCTAGGGGCTATATCAGTTAATACTATTGTTCAGAAAGCAATAGAAATTATTTTCCGTACTCTAAGAAATATATGCCTTTTGACCATTAGCAATATGAAAATGTTAAATTTCAAATTTCTTTCAGTTTAGAAGCATATTAGCTTAGAAAATGAATCAAATATGTAGATTTTCTCAATTTTTAAAAATTTGTTAAGAATTACTTAGAGGATTGTTATACAATTTAGTTGAAATCCACTTTCATGAATTAGAACAACTGAGATTCCATTATGTAAAAAAAGAAGTGAGTAGGTTGGGGATTTAGCTCAGTGTCTGTCTTGCAAGAGCGAAGTCCTGAGTTTGATCTCTGGTATAAAAAAAAAAAAAAGTGAGGTTTTGGAAGGAAGTTTTTTGTTTCTTTTTCTTCAATTCACTTTATGGACAGCCTTTAAGGACAGAGTAAAATGTGACCAAAGTTTACCATCAAAGGAAAATTTTATTTATTTCTTCCTAGTACAGTCTCCTGTTTATTGTCTCATACTTTATTAATTTAAATAAATGAGGAGGCGAATGTTAATGTCATGGAAGAATGTAAAAAATCCTAGTCAAAAATTGGACACTGACCCGAGTTCTTGACTTTTGTCCTGAAGCTTTGAATACTATGGATCCTTAATTGTTTTATCTGTGAAATAATGGGGTTGGATGAGTAGCTCTTACAGTTGTTAAGAACATGAAAGCCTACATATTTTGGGGGGTTCTAAAATATGGCACTGTGACACGAAAAGCCATGCGAATAGGATGTTATGGAGCCTTTGTAAAACGTCATCCTCCCAGGCACATGAAGAGAATATCAGGTGAAGATAAAGTCATAAGGTCCCTATGGGTTCATACAGTCACTGCTATTGTTCCTCAGGGAATCTTCATATATCATTATTAAAGAATCTAAAAGAAACCTTGAAGCTCCTCAGGAGAAATCCCTAGAGCTTTGCAGGTATTCTTACCATCTTCACACCTAGAAATCTGCTCTTAGAAACAAAGCATCATTACACTGATGGGGAAAATGATTTAAATGTGATAATGGAAGATCTATCTTTACATGGCATGTAGAATTTTGTTTTGATATAAGAACTATTTCAATAGAGAAAAAAATTGGTTCACTTTATAAACATGCTGTGCAACTGGCAAAGAAAACGTCCTAAACTATTTCGTGTTCCACATCTGACCTCTACACACATTTTTCTCCTCCTCAGTATATTTAGGATATTTTGTGGTACAGGAAGGACCTTTCTCTATGGAGGAAGGGTCACAGTCCTCCATTCTCTGTTCTGAGACACCATGTTTGTAAGTGCTCCTGTTCACATCAAAGTGAAGTATCAGAAAATGAACTTCTGCTTTTATCCAGGACTGTATGATTCCCTTCATGAGAGTGGGTAAATTCAGAAATAAACAGGTCTCCTAAGGTGTACTGTGGTACATTAGAAAGAGTCTGGGGTAGCATTGAGTAAACCTTGAATTCTTTTCTGATTTTTTCCACTTGGTATAATATTGTATGTAGACTTTAAAGTCCAATAGGCATTCCTGGCTATTTAACTTTGGGCAGGTTACTTGGCTACTCTGAGCCTCAGATTCACTCTTTGTAAAATTAAATTCTGTAGACATATCTTTGTTTAAATTGGAAATTTCTTTATCCTATAAAGATACCTAGCAAAGGTAGAGATATCAGCTCACACTTAAAACAGGGGCTTGCTTTACATTCTAAATTTGCCTGGAGAAAGGTTAATACATGAAAAAGTCAATCTGCTTAAGATGAGTCAATATGGATTAGTAAACTTCTCAGACTTTTTTAAAAGTAAGAGTTTCTCTTCTTTTCCTTTATTGGAATATTTGATTTATTCTTCAGGATCGAATAGTCAGCTATGTCCTAATGTTCATTCAATTTTAGGATAACCACAAAGGTTTTATGAATGTGAAATGCTAGTTGCATAAATATGAAATGGATCTGTGATGAGGATACTGGATACATGATATAATAGTCCCAAAGGCATTTCACCTGGGACCTTAGCTTTCCTTCTAGAACATCAGCAAACAGTTCAAAATTAATGTAACACACCATGCAATTTGCCATATCGCTACACTAGCCTGATAATATTTTTCCTCATTATATAAAACCTAATTAGTTAAAGGGCAATTCAAATGAAACTTTTATTTGGGGGATTTAGAAGTATTAAGGCAAAGGGAAAAAATAAAGCAAGCATACACAGCAGCTCTCTGGATAGTATGAACAAGATTATTAATAACCCTTGTGTGGGAACATGATTAACCTTGTTATTTTCCTCACGATCCAGGTTTTACAATAAATAAATCAATACTGAACAAAAATATTTAGATGCTTTATGGATAACAACTTTTACAAGGTCTCCAACTGGCATCAAATGTTTTCAAGTATGAAAGCATCTCTGGGCTTTCTCAACAGGCTGATGGATCCCTGCAGGTAGCACTTCCCTTGTTTAATAGTCCTGCCAATTAAATCAAATTAGACATGAATTTTTAACTCTATGATGAAGGCAATGCTCACTATAAGAGAAAACAGGAAAATGCAATATTTCCCTTAAGTGAATTGTTTCAAATTGAATAAAAGTTGGTTGAGAGGGGAGGGAAAGCAAAACAACTTCACTGACGTTCTATGCTTTATATGTAAACGTATCAGTCATTTGAAAGCAATTTAAAGGCATAATCTATAGTCAAGGCTGCAAAATGTTTACATTTATCTTTTCTTTCATTGGCACTCTAAGATGTTTTTATTTAAGAATTCCAAGTTTCTAAACATGGCCTTTCTTGATGTGATGGAATGGTCCATCCTTTACCTCTGACTCCTGTGTCATCTGCTTTTGTAAGAAGTACTAATAACCCCTACAAAGCTATTTGTACAGTAGGCCAATTCTCTCTAGTCTAATGATGCTATCTATAAAATATTATTTAATAAAGTTAGTGAAATAATTTGCTGTGCAGGACTAAGGATCAGATAATATATGTTTCAAGGCAATGATTAGTTTTACCACTTTAGCGTAAACAACCACAACAAGCCAACTATTAATTTGGATCATCAACCTCAACAAATGTTTGCTTAAATAAAATTGTGAATGTTTACTTCTAAGTACACTTAAGTGTGAACTAATTGCTACTATATCAGGTAAGGTAAAAACAGATCACAAGTCTCAAATGACTACAGCTCTATTTTGGGATTCATTAATTGCTGACAATATCACCAGTATTTTTTCAGCCATGGTCAAAGCACATCAAAATGACTGTTTTAAATCAAGTATCCTTGGGATGTTTGGGAAATCTATTTCTTAGTATATAGACAACAGCAAGTACAAATGAACTTAATGGGAAATTTGTTCAAAAATATTTCTAGCAGATGATCGGAAAGGATGATGTTTCTGTCCATGCATTAAAACAATAGAAGGTATTGACAATTAATTTGAGAACTATATTGAAATCTATTAGGGCCCCCAAAACATTTAGTCATTGTTTATAAAGTATATGTATGCAAAATTATGGCTACATATATCAAAGATTTACATTGATAATATACATCATTTATTTTCCTTCATATACACTTGAATGATTAGAGTATCATGAGTGTTACTTTTGTTATAATGGCGTCTTCCTATATAGCTTGTGGAATTAAATTCATTGATTCCTTCTTTGGGGGAGAGCCCTGGAAAGCACCCAAACTTAGTTTGAAAACCAAGAATCTTCCTCTTCTCTGACTCGCACCCTTCCTGTGTCCTCTAGAATAGATGATGAATTGTCTAAGTGTGAATTCTTGCCCTTTAGAGAAGAAAGGAATCTATGTGTGCTTACAACAAGCACTTGATAAGCCCACAAAGAAGGAACTTGAGGATGCCATTATGGCAACCCAGAAGATACAATCACGTTTGATGTTTTTGTCAGAAATCTTTTTACCTTAAAAGCCAGGCAACAAGCAAGCTAATCATGTGTGATGTTGGGTGACCCCTGGAAACACAACCTGTTTGCTAAAACTCCCATTGCACTCCAAGCAGAACAGCAGAGGTGTACTGAAGGCAGAGTACAAACTGTCACTTTTTGTGTGAGGGCTCCCCCTCCCACAGGTATTAGGAGTTAAATTTTCCTAGGTTTCTGACTATAAAGATTAATACATTTTCCAAAGGCACAACAAAGCATCCTTTCAGGTCACCACTGATGTCAAAAGAAAAGAAAACAAAACAAAACTGGAATTTTCTGTTTCATTGTGTAAAAGGTCAACATCTGCTGATGCTCAGAGATGGGGATGTGGTGGAGGTGGCCAGATGAGATGGGGAGTGAGCAGTACAGTTAGAGAGTCCATGCAACACACACCTGGCACTCAGAACAGAAACACACCCCAGCGCCAGAGAACGACTTTTCCATCTATCCATTTCTGAAATTTTTGACATAACAGATCACCATAGCAGCCTCAGTAATCTGTCTTGGCTCAATTCTGTTTGGTTCCCTTCTGCTCTAAAATTCATGTACAATTGCAATTGTCAAGGCCTGAAAGGAGCACATTGTGGGGTACCTGTACAGCTGAGCAAATGCCAGGGGAGGTATTGCAGCAGGAAAATTAGACTACTGAAAAATGAAGGTTTTCATTTGTAAGTTTGAAGCACAGATGCCATTTCAGTAAGATCACAAAGAAAATGCTGTGGTGCCTGGCTGATGTCTAAATGGATGTGAAAACTACTTTTATTTACAAAGCAGCAGATTTTCATGGCATTTAACATGTCTGGTGCTGAAGAAATCGGTGTCTGGGCCTATTCATGAGCTTAAGTAGACTGGGTTGATTTTTAAATTGAAAGATCTGACTGTGCATTTATAAGAAGCAGGGAGTTGTTTAATCCAAACTATCAGAATATTGTTTTTTAGTTGGATCTTACACACGATGGTGCTTCAAGTGCTGTTATTTAAGCTGAGATCATTTTACCTGGCGCAGTGCTCATGACACAAGCCCCTTGGGGGTTGTACCAAGGTGACAGTTCTCTTTACTTATGTGCATAATAGGAGCTTCCTTTGGAACATATTTCTAATGATTTATTAGCAGTTGTTCCAAGGATTTAGTCATCTGAGACAATATGTAAAATTCTGCTCTGAAATTTTATTGGGCGTGTTTATTACAAGCCTTCAGGCTTGAAGTTGGAGTGGCACTCGTTTATGTGGGGAAGTGGAGCTGCTGTCTGGATCTCCCAGGGAAGCTGGAGAGTGTTCTTTGCTCTTTGTAGTGATATTGGAGAGGCACTGCACAGCGAAGTGAGGACTGATGCCTCTTCAATTGCTTAGATTTCTATGAACTGACTTCTTGCAGGAGTTTCTCATCCCCTGACTCCTAAATTCTCCATGCATTTGTATACTCTTTTTCTAAAAAAATGTAAGCCTAAATACACATGAACACATGGATCATTATATTTTAGGAAGAAATGGGCATACTGGATATCTTTTTCTGTCATTCCTCCCAAAACACAAATGATCATAAACCTGCCTCTTTCAGGCCTTCACAAACCTAGAATTTAATATATTAACAAAAATTCCCTCTCCATGGCTTTATACTCTTTTCCTTGGGTTCCAGTGACTTTGCTAAGACATTCATTGACATTTGTTCTTTGCTTTCTCCAATGACGTGAGAAATCCATATCTAGCCTGGAGAAAGAGTTGGATTTCTTAACATGCAGGAACAGAACAATTTATATTTTTTCCTAAAGAAGCAAGGGTGGGGTGGCTCTCACTGATATAAAGGAGTCAGGAAAGTTGTGGCACTGCCATCTTCACAGAAGAATTTTGCATAAATAACTATTCTGTTCATGCTTTCACCATATCTATGCAGAAAACCAACACAAAACATGCAATTCACGAATAAAATGTTCCATGACATCAGAAATGGACACTGGAAAAATAGATCTGAGGAGCTGAACAACAACACAAAGCTAGCCTAGGCTTGATTTGGTGAATTTTTTTTTTTTTTACTTACTACCAATACTGGAAATGCTGGGAATACCTGCAGAGAAAGAACACAATAAAGAAAAAGTGTTAGCTTTTTTGTTTTTAACACACGATAGATACCTTTTACTTTAAAAATTTCAGAAACTTTATTATATATATATCTAATATATATATCTATATAGATAGATAGATAGATGGATAGATATCAGCCATTTAAACCATTTTACTTTTACTTTTGAACTCCTGGGTTCATCAAAATTGAGAACCTAACTAATGTTCAATTTACCAGCTGGTATAAAAAAGTCTTGTGACATCAAATATTTTTGTTTGTCCATAAAGGTAATGAACATTTGTATGTGGTTCAAAATAGATATTGAGATATAAGCACTATGTATTGAGGTATATGCACAATAGCTCTTTTTAAACACATTATCAGATGCATACGTTAGATGCTGAAAATCATCTGACACTTAATTTGCTTAATTTCAGGTAACCATCTTTTTCATTCCTCCTTTGCTTGTCCCATATGTGGATTAAACCCTGTAATAGAAACTTAATTGAGCAGAATAATTCAAGAATACATTAAATTGTTCATATTGATCATGGACTTCATTGATTTTTCAGCTTTTACTTTAATTCACAAGTTGGGCGAAGGTAGTGAAGCCATTTCAGAATGTGGCCTGACTTGGTATAAATGTGGAAATGAATTTAGTCTGCACCCAGATTAAAACTCCTGGCCAAGCAATACAGTGCTGTGTCCAATAACAGGGCTTCAGGAGCCAGGCAATGTGAGTTTGAAGAGTAGCTCTGATTCTTAAATTCTCAGCAACATTGGGGCAAGTTGCTTAGGCTTTCCATTACTCTGGCTTTCCTGTCTCTTTGGGTTGTTGTGGAGATTGTATAACTTAGTAGATGGAAAGCACTCAGATCATTGCTTCACCCAGATGATTGGTTCACAGATTGTCTTTGCAATGATTATTATTATTGTTATAGCCAAGTCAACACTGTGACAGATATTGCCAATTAAGTCAGATTTATATCCTCACCATTAAATTGTGGTCATGTGAGAGCATGAAACGAAATCGAACTGGAGGGGTGGGGAAGAGAGGGAGCGGGGTGAGGGGAGAGGGGGAGAGAGAAGAGAAATGCTGTGCTACTGACTAGTTGGGTGGTTTCAGGCATGTTCTGTAGCCTCTCTCAGCCTATTTCTTTATCTGAAAGTAGGACAATAGTGTCTACCACCACATCGGGCTGCTGTGAGGATTGAACAAGATAATCTATAAATATGTCTGACACATGGTATTTGGCCAATAAGTGATAGCTGTTAATGGATTGTTCAGATCTGTTCTTTACATCACTGAAGTATGCTAACAGTTGATGATTACAAGAATCATTGCACTCCTATTTTAGCATTTATGTTTGAAAAACTACCCTCTGCTTACTTTAACTATTCATTGCACTTTGCGCAGAGATTTCTAGAATCATATTCTTTAAAACTAAGTGCTATTTTTCCTGTGTCTGAATGTGAAGAGAAGAGTGAAGAATACAAGGTTACTATGCTTTTTTATAAAGCTGGAAGGAACAGGATCTTATTTTCAATTATTATGTATATTAAAAATCTCTTGATTTTTAGATGTTCAGGGGGCTACAGTGCTTTAGTTTAATTTCTGATCCACTCAAATTGAAAAGCTAAATTATTGTTTCCATATTGTAACTCTATCCTATGAACTGAATTTCAAGCTGAATGCTACTTCCACAAAGAATGGCTAGATTCCTGACCTGACACCTCAGTAGACTATCTTTGCCTCAGTGGCAGAGTAACATCAAGTTGGTACTGAGCACTTTCTCCCTTTGCCAATTTCCTGTTGAGTGAGGTAGAAGGTACAATGGCAGCATCACAATTTTAGTTATCAGACGTAGAAACTCTAAATTTTCCCATGATTGAAAATCCTGTTTCATTGCAACGAACTGCTTGCCTGTTTTAATTTGCTAAAGAGAATGAAAGTTAACATGGCAGGAAGAAAATTTTCATGTGTTTTCAAACTTTCTTGGAGTCAGAGGGCCTTGCATAATGCAAGGTAGAGTTCTCAGAGCTTTTAGCCTGACACAGGAAAGTAATCTTGCAAGCATGTTTGGTGCAGCACTTGCTACAGTTGAATACTTTAGAAAGATGCAGAAATATTTCCACCCCTGTACCAGTGCAGGAGAGTCATGTTCATTTCAAGTATGCACACTGTGCCAAACAAAGGCTATTCTCAGATCTTATTTTCCTTATGAAGATGTTATTACCTAACACTGGATACTTAAAATTCTGGCTCTCCTTCATTTTGTGGCTTACAAATTTTTGAGGTTCTGCCAGATGAATCACTTTTCTATTCCACTGCTGTAAAATGGGAATTGCTTAGAAAAGATTTTTAAACTGCTCATTTGAATAAAGAGTTTTGAAGTTGAAAATATCTGAAAGCCAAAGGATTCAGTATAATGTACACAGTATATTTTCAAATGGTAGTTTTTCCCTAATGGTTCTTATTTTTATGTACAAATACCTTGTTTTGGGTTCTCTGCAGACAACTAAAGAATTTAGTGAACTCATCAGATCCATTAAACAGCTACAAGAAAGCCAAGAAGAATCCTTCAAACACTCAAGGAAATACACTAGAAGACCTGGAAATGAATTGCAGCAATTCATTTCTTGAAATATTGCGGTCCGTACAGAATGAATCAGTGAATGTGATTCAGTTTTGTAAGGACTGTGACCATAAGCGATGCGAGTGAGTCAGACTGTGCTCAGGAGAACTGTCTAGGCACACGGTGGCAGTTTTTAAACATTCCTTGTGAAGTGACATTATTATGTAAAGAATATTTTTACCTTGAAAACTGAACTCAGGAGTTATTTCTTCCCTTTTTCGTATTCCTGATGTGAGTTCACCGCCTTGTTTTTTTTTACATCTTGGCACAGGCCCCGTGACCCACGCGTCAACTCACTTATAATTGTTTTATGTTTGCCTGAGAACATGGAGAGGACAAGACCCAGCCCCGTCCTTTCTGTGTCGCTCTCATCTGCATGAGACAAAGCCTTCTACGGGAGACTTTTACAAAAATTCAGCACTGGTTTCTATGAAGGTTTTTATCTTTGCAAAAAGACTCCTTTTGATCATAGTATGATTTAGTTCCTGTAGACTGAGTTCAAGATTAGAGAATATTTTTGTTTGATTTGGATGTGAGGTATTGTTCTGATAGCAAGAGTTAAGCAATGATAGAGTACCCTCACTGCCTTCCCGTCCAAAATGCAGAGGTGCAAGCCCTCTGCTTTCTGCTCAACTCGGGAGACCATCTAGAATTTAATGTAATTTTATTCCTATTTCTCTTGTTAGTTCTTACTTTTCAATATCTCCTCTTTTTTATTTGTTTATTGATTTTTGAGACATGGTCTCACTAGGTATTCTGGGTTGGCCTTGAACTCATGGGGATCTTCTTACCTCAGCCTCTAGGGTGCTGAGATCATAGGTGTGCACCACCACACCCAGCTTTAATCCCCATTTCCATACTCATTTCTATGTCTTTTGTTTTTCCTACAGGACCAAGAAGCAAATATGGATTCAGTAGGGTCTTTAAGGCATGCAAATTTGAAAGCTGTCTTTAAGAAAAATAATATAATATTAAAATATAAAATTAGATGGGAAATTGGACTTTTTAATTTAGAAAAATTCCAGGGAAAGACCTGAAGTTTAATCTTCGTTAGCTTAAACTCATCTCTGAAACAACTTCAAATATGCTAAGAAAGATACAGAGATGACAGGTAAATACAAGACGGAAAGGAACACAGATAAGCTAATTTTTTTAAAAAATGACAAAAAAATTGAGGGTTAAAAGAGAGTTAAGAAATCATCTTATCCAGTCCTCTCATTTTACAGAGAGGTATAGATAGTTGTAAAGAGGTATAAAGTACATGGTCCTAGTTGACTTGCTTATACTGTGTTGGAATGTGAAATTCCTAGTTCCTGCCTGAGACTCTGAGACTCGTCTGAAGAAAGACAGCACTGGTGTGTGTGAGCTTTGATGGAAAGCTCTGCAGTACAGTAAATGACTTTCACACACATGCGTCTTCTATGATAGAAATGTCACTTCAGTGGAGAAATGCATACCTGTTAAGTAACCCAAAGGGCCATGGTGCCTCTAGGGGCCAAAGGAATATGAAAGCGAAAGGCAATTGCCGTATAGGTACTTGTAGTTATTCTCTCCTCAACCAACATTTCCTATACCCACATTTATTTTAAAGAATTCTGCTTCAATTAGGGAGATGAGAACCTAGTAGAATTATATAATATGATGATGTGATATCTTCTTGTTTTTTGCAATTTAAATTTACTGCCCCTTTTCCCACCAAATAGCTAAAGGATATATAATTAAACTTAGGGAAGTCAACGTGATGAAGATATCAAAAATAAATGTCCTGTTCTACAAAAGCAGTGCTAAAAGCTGTAATTCCTTTTGAGAATCAATGGAAGGTTCAGGAACTTTTTGTCAAGAGAGAAGCAGAAAGGCTTAGCATTCAGTATACTTCACCCTGAAAGCAAAAATCACCCGGTGTGATAGATGGCTTAAAAGAAAAACCTACCAAGTGAGTAACTAGATCTTCTTATGGTCAGGCCAGACATTGGGCTCTCCCACTCCAAAAAGACCAGTTGCAGAAGGAGTAGGCAATGAATAAGAAAACATTCTGCAGGCTCATTTGTATTTCAAGAGAATTACTGTATTTCCAATATTCTTCCAGCCTCAGTCCTGGTCCAAACTGCTATTGATAGGAGATAAGTTGAGCTGGATACAAGGGACTTGAAAGTGAAGGAAATAAGATTGCTTTCACAAAATTTTGCCAGGAAATCATCATATAAATGATTAAAACAGAGAGAGCTAATGTCAGCTTCTGTGCTTAGAAGGGCTCTGGAACCTGAGGGTACGTGGCAGACTTGGCAGAGGTGACACTAACCTGACTGACTGTACGAACGCATCTGAAGAGGAAGAATGGGCTTTAATCAAAAGGTGAAAACCTAGAAG